CGGCTTTGTAGACAAGTGCGTAGTATTAGCAATTCGACGTCCAATACTCGGTGACTGTCCTCTGGTAGACCGCATACGTCGTGTAGTCGTCTCCGTTTGATGAAGTTGGGAACGACTTGATGTTTTAGACAGCGGTGGAGAAAGTGTATTGACTGTCGAGCTAAGACGATCTTTTGTCTCAGTGACAGCGCTTCTTTTACAAGTCGGAAGTATCCTGCTGGTACATCTTGCAGTAACTGCCACGACCGACTTTCTATTAACCTCGGCATTAATCAAGTAATTTTCGTAAGTAATCGTAGGCCTTCAAACGACAACTCTAACGATAGAAGGGTCTCGTTTATCCTACCCTTCATCTCAAATGATATAAGTACAGCTATAAAACGCTGCTTAAGAAGGGCGGGCTTAGAGAATTCGGTGAGCGTAGTTGAAATACCACCGAGTAATCTTAAGCGCCAGCTAGTTCGTAACCGCCTATATGACCGTCTATGTGCAACTCAAAATTGCATAATTTGCCCCAGTGGTAGAGACGGTGATTGCATGAGCTCGGGTATAGTTTATCTGATCTCCTGTAAGACGTGTGGTGACGAATATATTGGCGAGACGGGTAGACCCCTCCGCGTCCGCATGAAAGAACACCTAGCCGGCAAAAATAGACCAAATACCCCGCTAGGCACGCATAGGACCCAGAGACATAACGGGGACGACTTCGAAGTATGTGTCACGATCCTCGCACGCGAATCAAGAACACAGGCGCGAAAAACTCTCGAGGCATTCTGGATTAAATCCAGAAATCCGAAAATGAACCGCAGGGAGGAATGCCTCATTATCACGCGTGATATAGGGCAGTATATAAAACTGCTTTTCTGATATGAGGGGCACATTATACTTCCACGTGATTTCTATGCGGTTGGTCTCTACGTGACATACTTAGTGGAAACCTCATAGGAAGCGGTGAGTGTGCAAAGCTGTGTTCAAAGTGATTGAAATCTTGGTTTGGAGCTTCTTTGTTTGGTTATCGAGGCGTCTGGCCGAGTGGATTGCTATCAACTTGACCTTTCCAGGCTCTGAGGAAGGCGAAATCCGCCGAAACGTCAGCTTAATCGTGAACAAAGAATAATAACACCTTGCGTTTACTCAACAAAAATACGAAGAAAATTACTGTTATCTTCCTTTTCCAGGAAAAATTTCGCTTAACAAGCTATCATTCAAGACGATGCAAAAGTCACACATCAGGAGGACCGTTGTTGCTGATTACGCTTGTAGGACAATGAAAAAAGCAGAGGCGCTGAGGAACTTGTAAAACGTGAGCACGGTAAATATATGGACCCAACTTTCTAAAGTGCACTATACAAAGGTGTGTTATTACCAGTACAAATTGGAAGAACTCTAACTTTAGAAAATGTTGCCTAGTTTAGCGATCCTAATGATAGGTATATCTCTTTGGAGCGGAAAATAAAGTGAAGCGTTTTAGTCAGTCTTAGGCAATGCAATCCACCAAGTTAGAGATATTTCTCCTCAAACCAAATACGACTGGTGCAAACGTTAGAAAATTTTCTTGGCTCCTTGACTCTTGACTTGACTTCTTCTTGACTTCTTGTAGTGCAGTTGACTCAAAGGACTGTTGAAATGAATGAATGTGTATTTTGCCTATACGATAACCTCCGATAGCCTAGTGGTGTATCACACCAGAGTTTCTGCCTTCCCAGACAAGTATTGTACCAATTCGCCAACCGTGAGGTGATTGAAACTTGGCTTTCCCCTAGGTGAACTGCGGAACAGATGGTTCTGTGTGTTGATTGGCACTTCTAACCACTGCGTTACACGCGTGCTATCGGAGCAGATATCTACCTATTAAATAAACGGGCATTTAAAAGATAATAAATCCAAGCTCATATTGATTTTCAAAATCCTTCCAAAAACGATTTTTTCGTGTTTTTGGAACAAAAATCGCGGCAATTGCCATTGGCATCAGTACAAAAGCGTAAATCCCCGTTCAAGTAAAGTTATGCAGATAAGGCTACATTATTTCATCTTTAGGTCCAGAGAGGAATGCCTCACAGTCACGCATGACATTGGGCAGTATTTAAGACTGCTGTTTTGATGTGAAAGGCACGTCATGCTTCCATATAAACTCTGCACGGTTGGTCTCCACATGGCATATCCAGTGGAGGACTCATAGAAAGCGGTGAGCGTGCGATGAAGCTATTCGGTGTTCAATGTGACTGAATTCTTGGTTTATCACTTTTTTGTTTGGTTATGAAAGTGTTTGGTTGGGTAGATTATGGTAAACTTGAATTTTCCAAGCTCTAAGGAAGGCGAAATATGCTGAAACGTCGGCTTGTTCTAGAACAAAGAATAAAACAACACCTCGCGTTTTTCGGCAAGAATATAAAGAATGAGTTAAAAGCTTTCTTTAAGTCAATGGAAGTGAGACAGAGCGGTCTCCTGTAGTCACACGATGCTTCATTGAGTCTTGTTAGCGTGTGAACGTCGTCTATGGTAGTGAATCATTTCCAGAGCCCTGCTTCCTCGCATAAGTGCACTTCGTCATTATTCCGTCAACCCTGCTAAGGATGATGCGAGCTGAGAGTTTATAGACGTCAGACGATAAGATTGGGCGATAGTGGGCAGTGTCGTGGAGGTCACCCTTCTCGAACAAAGCAGTCCTGCTGAGGCTCCGTTTAAACATTGCGACGGGTGAGGTGTGGATATCCGAACCAGAGTGTTGATGAGAAGTGGCGAAAAGTTCTTCACGTTTTCATCTCATATGCTTCTCTGGACCAAATGTTCGATTCTTCACCGACGAAATAGCACCTCGGATTTCGGAAAGAAACACAGATGGGACGGCATATCCGTTTTCTTGGAGTATGTGGTTGTTTTTCCAACAGCTCCAACTTCGAGCATAATTGCTGCTCTTCGCTTTCTGTGATCTTCATTTGTTTCCCTTCTTCACTGCTTGAAAGTTTGCAGCTAGGATAGCGGTTGCCTGTAGCACGCGCAATTCCACGATGGCCTATCTGCTCGAGTGTTTTTGGAGAGAGCCGTCTCTTGGTGACGTTCGAGTTCTCAGCTTTCACGGCACTGACGTGAAGATGTTGAATGAGACGAACGTATTCCTCGTCGATGTTATCAAAAACAGCACTTTCTCAAAAACCAACTAATGAACTAAGTGTGTTCCAGTTTGTAGTGGTTTTCGGATTTGGTTTCCGAACATAGCAGGTTTTTCACCTTTTGGCGAAGAGTGGAATCTTGAGCGAAGGAGCTGATCGTCTGATCACGTGTAAAATTCCGGGACAATGGCGAAATTGGTCAGGCAAAACCTTCGATTCACTATGGTCTAGTAAACTTCGTTATGGTGTTCTCTATTGGAAAACTGCAACGTCCAGCATTAAGTGCGAGGTTTCGGTATTCTGCCTTACTATGATTGGTGTTGTTCTCCATGAGAAACTCAGACAGCCGATCACCCTGTTTGTTCCATTCTAATCCGTGGGTGCCAATGCGGCGTTCTTCAGGGTAAAGTCCTACTTACTTGGATATTTGGATGGCCCATCCTTAGCGGTTGTGCGGTTCACAGCATATTTTCTGTTTTTTAAGAGTTTTGCTGGTCTAGCCATTGTGGTTTCCTTGACTCTGGAGGTCGGCCTGGCCAAAGTCTGCTTCAGATCGTCACCACCAAAGGCAATCGCCACCCTTGTGCGTGTGCATCAGAGGAAGATTTGCAACCACCATGCCACTGGCTTGATGCTAGGATGGTGATGGATACTGCTATTGGTTTACTCTCAGCTGGGATTCCTGATGGAAAAGCCGTGGTTTGAGATTTTGAGTGGCGCTGTTTGGGTGGGGGGACGAATGCCCTTGCCGTACATTGCAGCATGACACCAAGGAATACCTTCCAGCTACGAAGAAGCGGTAAACCGTTTGCAGAGGTACAATCTTAGCGTTAAAATTTTTACTGGTAAGCTTAAAGAATGTGTCGTCTTTTCTGCAGAATTTCTCCAAGTCTATACAAAGCGCTTTAACCTCGTTTTCATCACTGCTTGAATGCGGTGTGTGCACGACAAAGATTTCAAAGCCGGTACTCATCCGCATCCCTTCAAGCATAAATGCTTGATTTGGTTTGTTAGCTGCTCAAATAATTTTATACTCATGGTCAGTCTCATGTTGACGAGAATTCCGATGTCACCATATCATGTTCTGAGCTGCAGTCTTTTCCTGATGCACCACACAGTGTTGAAGGGGTGGCATCTTCTCGTTTCATCAAGTTCGATGACGCCGTATCTTATTTTTCTTTTCACTGCATAAATAAGTTTTTTATCGAGTACTCAGATGCATCTGTGCGTACACTGTGCATAGGTAGAGATAGTCAACTTAGTCCTTAACGATTTAGGTAGCGTAGAATCGTTCGGAGATTTTAACTATCTCTTGGCACTCATCCTACCCAAAACTGCCGTATTAAGATCTCTTTTGGGGTCGAGGAAATAAAGTCTACTTATTTTACTGTGTTTAGAGTTTGATGCTCACGTAAAGATTGTCGAGCTCTGAGCGTGGTACCTTGGTATAGTCATAGGTAGTCCGCCGGCCGCTCTCAAAGATAACGAAGAGCTTATTTGCCGGAAACGACTATTTGCCGCCTTCCTAATGGTTCCCATTGACTTGATTACAAGCATTTGGTTAAATTCACATGTATCTGCCACTAACCCCTAAACTGCCTTTTAGGCCTTCCAATGGGCAAGGATGACCTGTATCACCTGTAGATCGTCGAGTGACACGAGCAGGCGCCACTAAACCTTCCATTTTACCCTGTCGCGTGTAAGAGTAGCCCAGTGGATTCTGCTCGCTCTAGAGACTCGTCGAGCATCATATCTTTCTTTCACGCTTTTTGTGAAGAGCCCTGACCATCGAGTCGGTGGTCTCCCTACATTGCGTTTGAAATCGTGAGGAATCCAATCACTAACGGGTCATGTCCATCGGTTGCCATTCATACGCATTACTTGTCCGGCTCACCTTATCTTCGACTGTTTGGCGTACATAACGGTATATTTGATTTCTGAGCGTTGATGCCGGTCGGAGCTTCGGATCCCATCCCTTAGTTGTGTGAAACGGGATATTCCTAGCATCGTCCTTTCGACTGCGCGTTCGATAACGCTGAGTGACCTTTCATCCTGCTTACGCAGCGGCCAGGTTTCTGACGCATAACTTTGGGCAGGAGGTACCGTTGGGTCGAAAAGGTAGACACGGAGTCGGCTGTTCTTTGTTCTCTCCACTACATACTCGATGCTCCTGAAAGCTCGCCAAGCTGCTTGTTTCCTTTTGCTCAGATCTGGAGGTAGGTCGTTCATCATATTGATTTCTCGAACTAAATAGATATAACTGGAGCATTCGGAGATATTCGTTCCGTTGAGCGTGAATATGGTATACGAAACCAATCCGTTCTTCATGAACATCGTTTTTGTGAGATTTAGTCGAAGACCAATCTTTCCACAGGCTTTATCAAAGTCGCTAAGCATACGTTTCGCTTTGCTAAAGTTTGGTGTTATAAGGACGATGTCATCAGGAAAACGAAGACGATGCAACTGCCGGCCATCGATTTTCACTTCCATATTATCCCATTCCAATGTTCGAATGACGTTCTGGAGGGTGGCGGTAAATAATTTTGGCGAGATGGTATCGCTTTGTCTAACTCCCCTTTTGACGTCAATGTTAATACATTTTGTTCATGTAATTGGCGAAGCTTCGGTGGGCTTTGCAAATGCTTTTCCAAGCCTCTGTAGCTTCGGCCATTACTGCTGCTCTTCTCCCTCTAAGATCTTCTTTTGTCACTTGTCTGCATTGTTTTGCAAGTTTGGACGTTAGTTAGCGGTTGCCTGCAGCTCGTTCGATTCTACCCTGGCATATCAGCTCGAGTGTTCCTGGGGACAGAAGTCTCTTGGTGACTTTCGCACCCTGAGCTTTCATAGCGCTAACGTGAAGATGTTGAATGAGCCGATCGTATCCTTAGTTGATGTTATCGACAACGGCATCTTTCCAACAGCAGACTAATGAATTGAATAAGTCCCAGTCTACGGTGGTTCTGGCACTTCAGTTTTGGAATTTAGCTGCTTTTTCTCCTTTTCGCGAGAAACGGAATATTGCACGAAGGAGACGGTGGTCTGATCCCGTGTAGAATTTTGGGACAATAGCTACATCGGTTAGGCCAAACATTCTATTTACTATGATGTGGTCTATTTCGTTATGGTACTCTCCATTGGAGACTCTCACATTCAGCGATGAGGAGGCTTCTGGAATTGCGAGTTGCCATGGATGGTCTTAGTCATCATGATAAACTCAGTGAGCCGCTGACCCTGTTCTTTCCATTCTAATCCGTGGATCCCAATGTGACGTTCTTCAGACATTTTTCTTGATCCAATCTTGGCGTTGAAATTTCCAATGATAACCTTGAAGAATTCATGGTCTTCTCTGTAGAATTTCTCCAAGGTCACATAGAACGCTTCGACTTTTTCTTCGTCATAGTTTGATCTCGGCGCGTAAACGACGAAGATTGTCAAAGCCGGAATTGATCCGCGTTTTCTTAATCGTAAACGTAAGATTCGCGTTGCTAGTTGCTCGAATGAATCGTTGTTCATAAACAAACTCGTGTTGGCCAGAGCGCCAACGACGCCAACTCCTCTACTGTCGCATGTTCCGAGGAGCAGTTCTTCCTAGACGGCGTTGAAAGGCGTCTTCTTGTCTCGGCCAGGCCGATAACGTTGCACTTTATCCCTCTTGCTTGCATGAGCAATTCTTCTATTGAAGGCTCGGCTGCAGGTGCACGTGCATTGTAGGTGCAGATTGTCTCCACACTTCTTTGAAGCCAAGGCAGCTTCCATTAGCCCTGAGATTTTTGCAGCAACTCCGTACTCGTCCTACCGAACGCTGCGAAATTGAGGGCTCTTTCGGACTCAGGGGAATAAGGTCCGTTTTTTTTACTGTGTTTAGCATTTTTGATACTCACGTATAGCGTGCTGGGATCTGAACTTGAGGGTTGGGTGTACTCACGGGTGCTTGCCAGGCTCTCCCAGAGTGGACATGGAGCTTATTTGTTGGAGGCGACTCCTAAACTCCTCCCATATAATTCCCAGTCACTTCATCGCAGGCTTATGGCCGAATTGGCTTGTGGAATACAATTCGCAAAAGCAAGAAAGCACCCACACACGCATGCATGAATACGCCAAGCAAATACAGAAAGTATGCGCCAAATCGGCGCAGCTCAAACAGGGAGTCCATCTCCTAGAACCACCTGCGTCTCAGGGAAGCAAAGGTCGCTTTTGGTCCGCGATTAACACCCTATCCGCCACCTTGAGACGCGCCACGTAGCCACGCGACTAACCGGCTCGAAAACTCACATATAAGGGAAATCTGTGGATGGCAAAGATAGTCAAAGAAATTGAGCGATTCCGCCTCCGCTGCAGTCGGTTTACCGTTTCTTTGTTGCGAGAAAGTGTTACCAAATGCTGAATTGCAGTAGATATTATTGTGGTCATCTCCCAGTCCATTTGCTTTTTCAAGAAGTTTAATATATTTATCCGAAATCCAGCACAAGATCAAACGTGTGCCAGTATTCACTGCCAACTTACTATGCAGATTTAATCGAGAGTTGTTAAAGTTTCTCTGATTCACGAGAGCCAGTGCCTACCTATGCTAAACTACATTGGAAGGGCATGGCAGAACTCTTTTAGAATTTGAAAAGGCAGCCCAACCATCAACATACCCATTAAGTAGAAACTGTTTTAGTGCCCATACGAGACTTCTTGAAAGCGGGCTATTCCCTTACCAAGTAATTCCTTAGGAACTGAGGAGTTTTTCTACATACTATGTTGCTTGGTAATCATCAATGCAGCAAATGGAAATAAAACCATTATTTTTGTGCACAAACGCCAGTATAGCAAAACGTAGAACACAGAGTAAAAATTGCTTTCAAAGTCTGTAGTGGAAAACGTAGTACAATGGTTAGCACATGCACACAAGCTGTCATCAAGTGGACTTGCCCTACGTCGACCAGCGTCTTTCTCTATCACTTTGAAGGCAAGTGACCCAGCAACGATTTTATAGTCAGTGAATTAGTGCAAATTTGTCAATAAAATGCACCTTCAATTCACTGCTTAGTTCCAGTCTACACAGATTGCACTGAAGAGTTTGTGGGATGTGATGNGTGGATGGCAAAGATAGTCAAAGAAATTGAGCGATTCCGCCTCCGCTGCAGTCGGTTTACCGTTTCTTTGTTGCGAGAAAGTGTTACCAAATGCTGAATTGCAGTAGATATTATTGTGGTCATCTCCCAGTCCATTTGCTTTTTCAAGAAGTTTAATATATTTATCCGAAATCCAGCACAAGATCAAACGTGTGCCAGTATTCACTGCCAACTTACTATGCAGATTTAATCGAGAGTTGTTAAAGTTTCTCTGATTCACGAGAGCCAGTGCCTACCTATGCTAAACTACATTGGAAGGGCATGGCAGAACTCTTTTAGAATTTGAAAAGGCAGCCCAACCATCAACATACCCATTAAGTAGAAACTGTTTTAGTGCCCATACGAGACTTCTTGAAAGCGGGCTATTCCCTTACCAAGTAATTCCTTAGGAACTGAGGAGTTTTTCTACATACTATGTTGCTTGGTAATCATCAATGCAGCAAATGGAAATAAAACCATTATTTTTGTGCACAAACGCCAGTATAGCAAAACGTAGAACACAGAGTAAAAATTGCTTTCAAAGTCTGTGTGAGTCACAATTCCTTATCGTTCACTGTTTAAAACGCATTTTTTCATATTCCATGGCTTCTCACCGCCGACTTCAACATGGTGGTGTTAATCAGCAAAACTTTGGAAATTAAAATAACGCAGATGATCTCGCCAGAAAATCCTTTCTGATAACAGTAGCTGGTAAAGAAGTGTGGAGAAAAGCCAGAAATTTTTATCGCACTTCTGTAATGTTTTCTAAGTGCAAATAAAATTTATTGGTTTAATGACACGGTGTGTCAAACGGTGGAATGGGTCCTATACCGTGAAAAAACGTTCGCTAAAATAATAGGCACCTCGAATGAAGGCCTTCACTAGTATTACGGTTTCCATTGAAAATGTCCACCTAAAGAGATAGCCTGTGAAAGAAGCACATGCTTTGGAACCTCTTTTTGGTAGCTCTGTGGAGTAACTACGACACTTGGACCCATTTCTGGTATACGCTTTGGAGGAATTACGTGGCCTCAATCTATTTCCAAAAGCGACAGCAGATAGAGCACAGGTCGCAAACCGTTTTTTTGGAAAGTGTTGCGATGGAACAACGGAAGCTGGACCAATCGCTAAAATATGCTGACAGTGAAGCGCAGGCATAATCCATTTCTGGAATTTGAATAGAAATACTAAATAAAATAGAGATGGTTCGAGTCATACTATTTGGTCTGCGAAAGTGTGTGGGTGCGATTCTAAACTGCAAAAAACTAAGGACCCATTTCAAGAAAAGGATATGGGGAGGTCACTCGGTCAGGGTCATTTCTCGAATTACGCAAATAAAAAGGTAGTCGCCATAAACTCAACGTGCACATTTCTTCCTACAGTAGAAACAAATGCTACAAAGATAAATACGAGAAGTCTTCCGAAATGAAACGATTCGCTTTGAACAAAAGGCAAGCACATTCCTCTGATATTGAACGTATCGAATGATATACGCAGTGACATCATGAAATGAAGATGAATCCTCTTTTAAATGACTAATTCTTGCTTTGAAATCGTTGATTAGAAGCTTTTGCTTTTCAAAATAAAACGTGATGTTGACATTCCAGGGGTGGCACAATCATGAGACTGTGTAAATTGGAGATTTGACACCTCTAAGCATTCTTCACAACAAGAAATTAGTCTGTTGAACTACACTACATTTCAAGTGGGAAAGTGAATGAGATTTTTGAGATGAAAGAGTAGAACACTTCAGTGTCATAGTAGTCACTTTTTTATGAGATAACCTTGTCTATAAAACGATGAAGGACTACTGAATGTCTAAAAACTTGTACAAGGTTTCTATTGAAACATTACGGCATTTAGGCCTTGTCGAACAGAAACTACATCAAGACGCTCTCTTGAAATTAGCATTACTTACTTGCACACGTGCACACTCCGTCTTCACGAGCTGTGCTGACCCCAGCGCATGTGCCATTCCTTTTTCTCTCTCGCATTCGTAGTCCAAGATGGTGGCTTTGTCCGAGCACGGTAGCGCTTGTGAGTCTCACACCGTAATCTGTAAAACGACTGCAGCAGAGGGTACAGCTGATCAACAGTGTTTACGAACACGCGCGACCAACGTGTAGGTGGTCGTTTCAGGGGACGCTTGCATACTCTTGGAGTCCACTCTACTGTTTTTTTCGTCAATCTATCGTCTGTTCTTCTCATTATGTGGCCGGCCCTTGTATGTTTCGCCGTTGAAGTATATTATCCTGGATCTCGAAGATGTGACAGATTTCGAAAATTAGAGCTTCGCATTTCGGCAACACATTGAGAGTGTCGGTTATATTTCAAAAGACATCGCTGAAGCGCTTTGTGAGTAGTTCGAAGCATTCTTGACGTAGTTGAAGTATAAGCGCTGGGAGGACCGTAGAATCAAAGAGATGAGCGTGGATTTTCGGGTCCTTCATTTGGTTGGTGGCTTCTTTGAGAGGTCCGAATGTGGCCCATGCGCCTTCTTCTTATCTATCATACTACCATAATAACGACATTAATCCCGGTGAAATATGGAGTTAAAGTCATCATTGACAAGGAGTCTTATTGAACCTTACGCAGCCTGGAGAAGTATCCCTATGTTCTAGATTGTAGGGAAACAGTAGAAACGGTAAGCGCTGAGTTAACGATTAAGGCAAAAAGTTTTTTAATCACAGACTCTTTCTGTGGACATTTCTGAGCAAAGCACTAAAGGAAACTACGACTTATAGTTATACGAAACTGATTTTTTCGTGAGTGTTTCTACACAGACTGGAAGCGCGTGTGCACGGCTCATTAAATGATTCGATTCGAACGGCCGTCATTGTTTTCATTTGAGCGGAATGTTAATAATGATGCTATGACATTCTCGTTAGCAAAACAAATAGCCTAACAATTTCATGACAGTTGTGAATGCAGTACCGTTCAATTTACTGGCTGAGCTAAGAATTACGGTATAACCGTGGAACATTTTTAGTGAAAAATTCTAATTTTGGAGGACTCGGAAGGACTTTTTTAAACATGATGTCCGTATGAAATCAAGCAAAAATAAGCAGCTAGGAATGGTCAAAATTCCGCGGGTTTCTCACGCAGTTTTATTTCAAAAAGTTCGAAGGACAGTTCTCTTGATACTTCTTCAGCATTTGAGTACATTACATGAAAATGGAAAACGATTGTAACATTTTTCCATTAAACGCTAATGAAAATGCGCCTTTCCTCTACTTTCATTTTGACGTACCACAATATCGGTCTCCAGTAAAACATAAATTCTATTCGACTGGTAATTTTCTAACCATTCAAAACTTGCTTTCGATTGAGTCTCAAAATGCCAGGTTGGACGGCTCTTCTTACACCGCAGCCAGTGGTCAGCTTTTGTGAATCGGACGACCACTTGCTCCCTGGTGACTGCTTCACAACAGGGACGAAACGACTCATGGAATTGGTTTACTTCTTATTAAAGTTAAAACTCCCGAATTAGTCATCTTGTGCTGCTCTGCTGATGATCTGATACTCCTCGCTGCGCACATCCGTTCGACATCAGGAAATATTTCAGGGCCGCGACTAGGTGTTGTTGAGCGAAGAATACCAATTTCCCAACCCCGTAGGGATGAAGGACTTGGTTGGGCAAGAGTGCGGTCGAGCCAGCATTTAGGTTAAGTTGGGCCCGCGTAATGAATAAGATCACTGAAACCACGGTACTCACTTCCTAATCAAATCAATGCTTCGAAACCTATAATGACAAATGCGTGATTCTGCACGAAAGCCAATGATTTTCGGAGATAAGAATGGCTCGCTTCCTTGACTACTTCCTTGTTTTCCATATACGTACATTTTTGTTAGTAACAGCAGTCGTTTGCAACACTGCGATGCTGAGATATTTTCAAAACTTGGACCCCACATCAAACCGAACAACTATTACCCTCTCCGGGAACTAGCGTCTTATAAGCTGCATCACTGAGACCTTTGCCTTGCGTATCTCTCAGGTAGTTTTCTACGGAACCCTGCCTTCAGCATTGTTGTTAACATTCTAGTGGCGAGTAACACCTATTTGTGTCATATTGTTTTTGCAGGAGTGACCAGCATAACACAGATAGGCCTCATTTTCTCTCCAGTGGCCTTTTGTCACACACAGAACTATATTTCAGAAATCGGCTTTCCTATTACCTCGGCATGACTAAGCAACATGGCAACGTATATTCTTTCATTGATTTGACGGATAATTTTATTCGGAGAACGTTCCAATGTCTTCGTCTTACTCATAGCCGACAGCCCAAATCGATGTTCAAAGTAGTTCAAACTCTCGATTTGGCGTCTTTGTCGTTGTATCGAGTCGGATCTTCTTCAATTGGCCACCGCTTGAACGGGACAATCTCAGCCCGCAACGCTGTTTTGTAATAAATTCTATATACTCTTAGTATCTTTTAAAGATGATCAATGCCTCTACATGCTCTAAGATTCTTTGTATGCTTTTGTGAACGTTTAAGAGAGCATCGTTGGGCGATGTTGCTTCATTGAAACTATGCTCCATCGAAGAAGGTCCGACTTGATACGAAGACGAAAACACCACATCGAGAGTGCGAACTGTGGACATCGACTTGGATCGGCTGAGTAAGATGAAGACATCGAAACGTTAGCCGAATAGAATTATCTATCGCCTTCGTNCTTTTTCTTGTCAAATGAGCATGTAGAACACAGGTTTTGTGTCCGGTGTTGGAAGGGAGAGCCTCTATTCTCTACTAAGAGATCTACAAAAAATTTCAATAATATGCGCACAGTAAACACATAACTATTTGTACTACACACATGCCAAACTAGTTCAATTATTGTTGCTATTGTAAATGACAATCTTGCGCGGCGTGTGCGTGTATGAGAACTAATAATCTACCCAGAAGATACAAAACGTTTCCAAATGCCGACAGTAATGCGCATGTACGATGGGCAAAAGTAATATGTAGTTAGTAGCACCATAAATATCATTCATACCTGTGGAACCTTAGCGAAAAGTGTTTTGTGCAATCGATTTATATTCCGAACCCACGGCATCCTCTAATTGTCGAAGACTTACAGTATATTTTCAAAAGAAAACCTGCAATTCCACAAAGGCTGATGAACAACCGTCGCTAGTCTGCAACAACCAGGGATCAGGCGCCGTCGTGAGGATGTTAGTTATTTGCAACAACGCAGTCAAATGAACAATACGTTAAGATTGTGGATTTTCGAAAAAAAACAGGTTTTTTCGTTTTCCTTATTCCATTTTTAAATTCTACAGCACTCTAAGAAGTGACTCAAAGCAGGAAATCAAGTGAAATCAAGAAGGCAATATTCGTTCGTTTATTGCGATGAGTATGCAAATTCAACAACCACTGAAAACTATTTTCGAAAAGCTCTTAAAGAAGAGATATCGAAAAATGGGAGCTAACGCTTCTGATTGTGTTGCTGCCAATTTTCTGCTTGTTCTCGGTGTTAAGACGAAACAACGGCATCGAACCGTATGCTAGGACTACGACCGTTATGAGGAATGCTTCAAATCGAATTATAATGAATTAGACCTAACACAGGATTGAGTATTGGAGACCGATCTTCGAACACTTCTTGAAGTTCGTTGCTGACAGTGCACTAGACCTGGATCCGTTTCTGGAGTTGCCGCAGATGATGCACAGGTCCTCGGCCTGTTCATGTAAGATCACGTCGAGGAAATATACGACCATGACCCGTTTTTGAGCCTAATAAGTAGAGGCTCTGAGCAATTTATGGTAAAAGTTATCAAGGATTTGCTAAACCTGGACCTATTTAAACAGTTCGTCGCAGATAAAACAGAAAGATTGGACAATTTTTAACGTATTACGTGAGGGAGTTGTAGAAGAATAATACGGCCAGCACCGTTTTTTTCCAAAGTGGTCGCGAACAACGTCACGGATAAAGAGCCATTTCTGGCGGTGGTGGTGAACGTAGCGCAGGTGTCCATGTCTCGAAAACGGTTTAAAGGGACCACGTAATCTAACTTTTTATTAGAACAAGCTGGTGATTAAGAGCAGGCGGCGCCATTTCCAGAAAAGGTTGTTGGGGAATCAGTGAGCCTGGATCCACTCTTAAAATAACATGAGGAAACCTATATGCCATATAAGAGTGCCTAACCTGTTCGCCCCTTCACGCAAAAGAAAAATGCTAATGAGGTAAATATGGAGAGAATTCTGAAATAAGACGATCCATTTTATACAATAAGCAAGCACAATTTCTTTGGAATTTAAATGTTTAGAATGAAACACGTGTTTGCACCATGAAATGAACATGAACCCTCTTCTCTATTACGTGACTAATTCTTACCTTGAAGATGTTGAATAGAAAGTTTTATTTCTCATAACGACGTCTGGTAATGAAATTTTCTAGGGGTATCGTAATCACGAGGCTGTGTGCATAGGAGATTTAGCACTCTAAGTATACTTCACAACAAGAAATTACACAAAGAAACACTTGGGTGTTATATTCACTACGTTCTTTCATAACACGACCTTGTCTATGAAACGACGATGAGGCACTGAATGCCCAGGAACTTGGAGAAAGACTTCCATTGAAACAATACAGCATGTAGACCTGGTTGAACAGAATCTCCATCTAGACGCTCTCTTGAAATTAGCATTATGCCACGAGTATTCAAAATGGGGTCGATGATTGTACTTTGTTGCCAATTTCACATTTTCTTCCAATAGAAACAATGATGACTGTTCAAATCGAATCATTTAGTGAGCGGTATAAAAGCGATTCCAATCCGCACAGATGTGTTCCTGAAAATATCAATTTCATTTAAATACAAGCCGATGTTTCCCTCATTGATTTTCTCAAAAACATCCAAGGAACCAGCCTGTAATTTGGAGCTCTTTAGACTAAGTACGAAATTGAGCACTCAACGTTTTTTGTTTGCCTGCAACGTGCGGCGTAGGAATACTTCCTCAGTCTACGACCCTGAAAGAGCTCTCGGTCATGACTAGTTCATCAACACGTGCTCCCAAAGATTGAATGCAGTTACTGTGATAGCGTTCAGCAAATGACTAATTTTTTTGTTTTCAGTTAATTTTAAGGTGGGACAACGATAATGTTTATTGCTGCGCTTGCCGTCCTTGTGTGCACCATCTACGCTCAATACCCTCCACCACCTCCTTATCCCCCAAAACCAAGCCCGCCATACGATGGAAACTCAGCAGCGTCAATGTCAGCTAGTAGTTTTTCGTCAAGCTACTACCCTAAACCACCGTATGGACCTACTTATTACCCTGAATATTCGCCTGTCCATGATTATGTAGGTTTTTTAAACAGTGTCTTTCCTTAAAACGTTTGTACTTAGGTTATTTCTAGTTTTATCCTCATCACCACTACCCGAGGAGCTCATCTGGTAAGCATTAAGCTGTATAAATACATAACGCACAGCTTGAGGTTAGGGTTTTTTAGAAGAGTACTGCGACTATTGCCCTCGAGTCAAGTTGTCATGCAAGAATTCGGAGGGATGTTTCAAGCCTAAAGTCAAGTAAGATTCGTTTCATACAAAGATCTTTCAGAAATTACCAACATTCTTAATTTTTAGTTATCTAAAGCATCGTTGCAAGGCCATTGTTACATGCGATTCGTTGGATCATGATGAGGATGTCGTAAAGTTGGTGACCAATAAAGAAAACGTTCTCAGTGAAGGTCTGGGAATCAGCAAATTGATCCAATGCAGGCATGGAAGGTGAGTGTTCTTGTTCACAACAGCACGAACACATTACGTTAAATGGCTGCTTTAGGTGGACTGCTAAGGATATCCATGATGATCTTGTCAGATTCAGAGGTCTTAGCTGCCTCACGGCTTTTGTGACGGAGTAAAATCCGTACGTGTTCAATAAAACTGCTGCATAATTTAAATGAATGTAAACATTTTCAACATTTCTCCTTTATTGGTCCTCATCGAAGAAGGACTTTAAAAGTCGATACCGAGATTTGAACAACGAATTCGTAAAAGTAAAAAAGGCGGTTAGTTTAAAATCATCTGCTATTGCATAACTTGAATTCGAGCCGTCATGACGTCCTCTCTCTCCCTTTATCTACTTACCAAGACAGACAAGTTAACTCACGTTCATGATCTTCCGTCTATCGCATCACCACTTTTCTAAGTTGGACCCATTACCAGCTGTTTCGACATTCTCATGGAAAAAATAAAAATTATTTCGGCTCTAATTCTTATCCAATCGCTGGAGCACATTCGTGTCCATCTCATGAACACCGCGATTCCCTTGGATCGTTTGCGTAACGCATGTCATAATAGCACGAGCACGAAAGAGTCCTTCGACGTTACCGCTTTCTACACAAGCATGTAGAATCGTTCACCTATGCAACCTATCCTGGAACTTTTTATGCAAAACGAAGCGAGAAATAAATCTATATGTTTCCCAAATTCATCAACTGTGGCTCTCTAAATGCAGCGCCTAGACTCCTCAATCTTTAGATGGTCTAGGAAGCATTTCGTGTCAATTAGATCGTCTGCGACGGAAGAGAACGACTGGCACCAATTATTGCCGTTGCCTTTCTGTCGATGATAGAAGCACCGCTAAAGGATCTCTGGCCATTACTCTGCAATCGGTATATAGATGATTGTTTTGGCATCTGCTCTACATAAGAAATGATGGACAAATGTCTTGAGTTATTGGAGGAATAGTCACAGTAAATATCTATCCACCCGAGGAAAACTGAAACGAAAACGGCTTTCATTTCTGAACGTCCAAATTGACCTAACCGTAAACGCCTTCATCACTAATTGGTACCGAAAGCTAGTTAGCAAAAATACTCTGGTTCATTACCTCCTCTTTGAACCGCAATAAGAAAAAACTGCGTATGTAGGAACATGTTTCGAACAGCCACCAGTGTCTTCACAAAAAGAAGAATCCTTGAAATTGGCGTGGCGATTCCCGGTGCCTACGAAGCTGCAGCTCCACAGGATAGCCATAGAGAATACACCATTTCCCAATCGGTAATTCTAGCAGAAACGAGGTCTCGTTTATCGTACTCTTTTACTTAATAAAATAAGCACAGCTACAAAACGTTGCTTAAAAAGGCGCAGTCCAGGGAAACCGGTAGTGGTAGCCAAACAGTTACCACCGGACACTTTAAGATGGCAATTAGTTCGTACCCGCCCATACGACCGTCTACGCACAACATTAAATCACATAATGTGTTTTATGGTAGAGCCGGCAATTGCACGAGTTCGGGGCCTGCCCATCCGACTTCTCGTAAAGTATAAGAGGACGAATACACTAGGCACTCGACTAGGCGCGCACATGACGCAAAGACATAATGGGAAAGACTTTGAAGTTAAAGTTACCATCCCTGTGCAGGAGTCCGAATCGTCAGCACGAAAAACTCTCGAGAAACTTCGGACAAACTCGAAAATCTAAAAATGAACCGAGGAGAGAAAGACTTCGTTATCACGAGTGACCTCACACAATACCTCAGAATGATGTGCGTGATATGTGATAGAGGCGCAATACCCATCCGTATGAAATCTGAATGTTTGGTCTCCACGTAAACTATTCATTAAAAAACTTAAAAAACTGGAACTGTGTAAAAGAGCTGCTTAATTTTCAAAACGATTAAGGTATAGGTTCCTTGTCTCCTTTGCTGAGGTTATGGAGGTATTTGGCTTAGTAGATTGCAGTTAATTTGACCCTTCCAGGGTCTGAATTAGGCAAAATCCACCGAAACGTCAGCTTTTGCGAATAAATAGTATGATGACAACCTGTTTGCTTATCAAGTAAACAACGAATTGTAGAAATTCTGTTCAGTAAAAAAGATTTTGTTGCATAAGCGATGTAAAAGACCTTGAATTACTCAATCTCTAGTGAAAGTTATTTCTCATTCGTACCCACACTTTACATCATTTAGTTCTCACTTATTACCGCGTAAGGTCGTACCATATGAGATTGAACCACCGCACTCTAATGACAATGACAATGACAAAAATGACAATTTAATGACGGTGACACTTAGGAAATTGAGCGTTTCTTCTCGCGCTGTAAACGGTTTACTGCTTCATCGTGGCGATGAAGTGTTTCTAGGTATCGAATTGTAGTGTGCACATTTATGATGATTTCTCATTTCGTTCAAGCATTTCGAGAAATCGATATTTTTATCCGAAAACCGATTCAAAATTAAACTTAAGCCAACGATCACGACCAGCTTACTACAGCGATCAAGTCGAGAGTTGGCAAAGTCACTTCAGTTCACATTAGACGCTTTCTTCCTATGCTAAATTACCTCAGAAGGGCATGGCACAACCTCTGAAAGACTTGAAAAAGATAGTTCAAGCATCAACCAACTCCTGAGATAGAAATTCTACTAGGATGTACACGAGTCTTCCGGATGGTGAACTATCCAATGTCAAATAATTCTTCAGGAACTGGAAGCTGTTCTACATACTATGCCATTTGAAGATCAACGAAGCAAGCGTGGAAATGAAATCACTAGTCTTAAGGCTAAACAACATGCCATGTAAAACTCAGAACAAAACTGCTCATAAGTTACGTGTGAACCATCAATCTTTGCAGAGTGCAAAAACTAAAGTGGTGAAGAAGAGTTTAGAAATCAATTCTTCACATTTCGTTCGTTGAAGACGCCGATCTCTTTATAAGATGCTTAGATGGACTTCGGATAGCCTTTTCTTCACCGGTTGCGCGAAATCCCACATGATTTCTTTTCGTTTCTCTTTCTCGCAATCCTCGTCCATTGTGGTTGCCTGCTTCGAACATGGTGACGTCCGCGAGGCCCATTCCATAACCTTGAAATTGCTGCTTTCTGTCAATGCAGTTTATTGGCGTACCCTATCAAAAAAAGTTAAGCCATCGTTTAGATGCTCTATCAAGAAAAATCCTTTATTCTCTAATATTTCATTCCACTGTTTTTTCGCCCATATATCATCAGTTCTTCCTATTATGCGGGCGGCACATCTGTTTCGTTATTGATGCATATGCTTCTGGATCCAGAACGTGGTTTCGGAGATCTGAGCTGAAAATTTCGGCTAGACGTGGCAGGAACGTTTAAATTTCAGAAGACATAGCTTAATAGCTCTGTGTATGATCCGTCCTAAAGGTTTACCATCTTAACGACGCTGAGACGTGTTCGTGGCTGTCGAAGTGCGGTGCAGAGAAGGGTATTCATTTTTTCAGCAGGATCCCCCAAAGTGCCACTGCAATATTTCGCTATCCGCCCTGGTGAACTAGGACTCCCACTACATCCTTTTGTGATATGGAATTGATAACAGAAAAGATAAAAGAAATCACCTCCTCTACCCTCCTCAACCCCCGTCTTGGACCCCGAAATCCCTGCTTGTAGAAAACCATCCAGGATTCCACTCTACCATGCTCGAATCGCGATAGAAAGCATGAAACGCTTCTTGTATGAGGAACTGAGGCGAGTTCGGCACAAGGTTTGAGTTATTCGACAAGCAGCGTGTATTCCTTGGTCGGGTATACCTTTATCCACCAATTATATAATGAGAGGAATTTATTTAGAATATCCTCATCATACCTGATTTGCATCGTATTTCCTGTACGGACAACAGTTCCTTTTCAGCTTATGGCCGAATCAAATTTTCGCACGGAGAAGGTGGCGAGCAGATCCCTCATAAATCCCAGGTACCTGTGAGGTGTGGTTGAGGCATTATTTTTTTTTGTGAAATAATGGGCGTCTCTACATGAGTCGTGCCGTTAAGATGTACTAATTCCTACCAAAGACTTTTTCTGTTTTTGAAAAGTGAATTCCCATTTAAGAAACGTGCTGCAGACAGGATTCCTACAAAACGGTTTCCGTTCTTATTTTGTTCTCCTGCTCGGGATTTACTCATTCTTTTTCCGTCTTCGATAGGCGTTCCTAATCTGGCGTTGAATCCTCCAACAACGAACTTGTAGAAAAACTTCTCGTTGTCGATTACTTCCTCCACCTCGTTATAGAACGTGTCTAGTTCGCTCTCAACAGGTTTACAAGTTGGTGAGTAACATTTGATAGGAATGTCCAAATACGGTGATTGTGTTTCGTATGACGTATAACGTATGAGTGAATGTGAAAGAGATGTGTGTACGGCAAAGCAACCGCCTCTGACATTTCGCAACGGAAATTTCCATCCAGAAATGACAAGGTTTTCACCATCTAACTGGCACATGTCGCTTCTTCCGTTTTTCGTCTCTTTTAGGACGATCACTTAGAATTTGATGCGAACAGCAGTCTCAAGAGCGTGAAGATCCACGTCTGAAGAGACTGTTGTGGTGTTTCAAGCACACACCAAGCAACACTTCCCATGACGTGTCGTAAGCGTGATCGTTTTGTCCATCTCCAATAACGTTCTGTTCATACTGAAATTTGATCGCCTCTCACTGGTTGTCTTACCTCCCAAGGTCTTAGAAGGAAAAGCCCAGTGTGTGGAGTACTGAGGTCGGACTGGCTGGACCAATGCGGTTTCCCAAAGTCTTGAGGTTAACGCAACCGAAGCCCCTTTCAAGTCGCCGCCATCTCACGCATTCACTGCCCCTGTGGGTCAGAGAGAGATTTCCACCATACGAAAAGTTTCATATTAGAACGGTGGCAATTCCTGGTACAGGTTTACTCTCAGATGGACTTCCAAGTGGAAGCGTCGGACACTCGGCTTGGGTGGCCCTGCTGCTGAATGTGAGTGCATGAACCTCCCGATGTACATCGCAGTCTAACATCCGAAATTATCTACCAGCGCGATTAGCAGCTTATCCAGAAACTATTTATTAATACCAGCAGCTGATCAGAAGTAGTAAAGCAAAGTCAAGACTTTTCATAGCAGTTCAGCCACGCCTTTTCAAGTGAGGGCA